GGATGGGGGCCACGGAACAATCATGGGTGTGCCGAGCACGGTAGCGATGAATCCGGTCTTCGGCGTTGCAGTCGTCGCTCAACCAGAGGAATGGCTACACACGTTGTACAGCAGTGTGACTGCGAGGGGGGCCGAGCAGCGTGTAGCTTGGGAACGGACGCCCAAAGGACGCAGCAACGCCAAATAGCCACAAACCCCACCAAAACAACACACGCCCGAAATACGTTGGATGGCGCGAGTACTCCCACAAGCCTGTGGCAAGGACCTCCCCTGGCCGTCCCTTGCCCTTGCGGCGGAAGCGTTGCAACTGGGAATCTGCGCGCGCCTCAAACATGACAGCGGCCAGACAGAGGGCGGCGGCAATTACGTCGAGCAGGTTGAACTCGGACGCGCCTGCCACAAGCGCTGGATAGAGGGGCAGACATCCCACAAACACGGCAATCGAAGGCATGAGGTGGACGGCGAGCGCCGACACGGCCCAGTACAAGCCTGCTGGGAAGGTGTCTCGCAAATCCGCATACCGCCAGTCCTCGTGGTGCAGTCCTTGCCAGCGGCGAAGGCTGCAAAAGACAAACCGAACCGACCAGACGATGAGCACTGCGAGCAAGACGAGTTGCCGGAGTTGGGACGGACCGCCAGCGGCAAGTGGAGGGTTGAGGTGGTCGATTGGGTGGGCTGCCAGAGTTGGGTCAAAGGCACCAAAGCCCCCGCTTCGGAAGGTTGGCCCTCGGCGCTCGCTTTGCCAAAAGGCGTGGTTACCAAATGCAAACCAGAAGGCTGCGGGGATGGGAGCGAGTGCCCAGTACGGATCGTACAGCGACGAGTTGTCGTACATGACGCTAAAGACAAAGACAATCACGGTCGATAGGGATCAGCTCGAGAAACATGACTTGCAGCGGATGCGTGTGCGTCGGTAGTGTGTGTGGCAGCACCACGAACGGAGCAGCTGCCAGCGTGTAGACGACGGCGAGCGTGAGCAGCGAAACCAGCCTTGATGAAGTCGCGACTGGCTCGGATCCCATGCTGCTCGAGTAGTGCAAGACTGAGTCTGCATCTAGACCATGACGATCGCCTCCAATACGGACACCCTGAGCCGCGCGTGCAGCGAGTGCGCTTGCGCTGAGTGCCATCGGGTACTGGGCTGGGTGTGGCTCAGCTCGATGGTCTGCTATTGGCGCGTCATTCATTGCATCCATTCTTGCTGGCTGGAAGTCTTCTTGTTCTTGTTCTTGATGGTGGTGGTGCTGGTGCTGGTGGTGTTGGTGCATTGGCTGCCTGCTTGGTGGCTCTGGCGCTGCAGCACTGTCCGTGGTCGTCGTCGTCATCGTCGTGGTCGGTGCGCTCGAGTGCTCTCGTTCAGCCAGTCGCTCGAATGCCTCCATGCGGTTGTTCGGGTGCAGCTGCCAGATGGCGCTGAGGTCGTCGTCTGTCAGGCTGGCCGCGTTGTGCTGTGTCATTGAACGCTGCTGTACGACAACGTCCTCTTCCTCCTCGTCGTCTCTTGCTTCTCTCTCTCTTGCGTCTGGTAGCCAGCAACGTGGACAAAGCGGTTGTGAGTGAATCACCGTTGTCGAAGAAGTGAAGCTCAAATTCAAAGCAAGGTCTTTAAAGAAAAAAAAAAAAAAAAAAAAACTTCGCGAAAACCAGCAGCGGCTGAGTGAAAAAGTGAAATGGAAGAACGGCGACTAAGACTGAGGTCGAAAAGTAAGTGAGATTGAATCAAACAGTGCTTTCAAAGAGAGGGAAAAAACAACCACTCGGGGAAGCGGTGTTGTGAGTATTCGTACAGTAGATCGACGGTACCCATTCTGGGTTTCCCGCCATTTTGATTTTACGTCGTTCCTTCTCACCGCACGCAGCGAAGTGAGCTGGTGTAGAAAGATTCGAAACAAAAATCTCGACTTTGGACTTTTACTCTTGAACCTGCTTTGCTCGTTCCATTTTCAAGTTGCTGGTGAAAAGCTTCGTCGAGTGGAACAATTCTAGCGCTTGAAACGGAGACGGCATTGGGAAGCGGAAAGTGGCAGGGTTACCACTTCTTGGGGTAGATTTAACACGCACATGCACTCTGGGGTCTGCAAACGGTCGGTAGCAACACGCGGCAAAAGCGTCTAGCGAGCACACGACGGTTCTTGGCTCGAGTTGGCGCCAAAACAGGCCCGCGTCGTCACTCCCTCCAATAGATGCGCTCGGTTGAAGGCTACCATCGATCCAGCTTCCAGAGTGAAGTGGCCGACAGGGGACGACCAGGAGCTTCGCAAGCAAAGCGTGTGCAATCATTTCATTTTGAGTTGATTCTCATTCAAATTCATTTGCTCAGACATTTTTTCTATTATTGTTTCTTGTGCTTTTTTTATTTAATTTTTTATGGCCAAACAAAACAAGCAAACCGCATCATCATCGGCGGATGCATTGAGCACTGGTCTCGCCGGGCTAAGCGTGAATGATGCTGCTCGTGCTGCTGATGCTGCTCGTTCTGCTGATGCTGCTCGTGCTCTTGCTGCTGCTCGTGTTGTTGCTTATGCTCGTCGTGATGCTGCTGCTCCTGTACCTGCTCGTGGTGCTGCTCGTGCTCCTCCTGCTGCTCGTGCTCCTCCTGTTGGTGTTGAACCGACCTCGACTTCTGCTCCTGCTCCAGATGCTGCTCCCACTGGTAAGCTTCCCAGTTGACCGGCTCTTGCCTCCTCGTTGCTTTCCGCATAAACAAACCACTGTCAGCAAAAAGTCTCAGCGATTTTTGCGCGCGCTTTTTTATTATTTCTTCGGCGTCTTTTCTCTCTCTCTCTCTCTCTCTCTCTCTCTCTCTCTCTCTCTCTCTCTCTCTCTCTCTCTCTCTCTCTCTCTCTCTCTCTCTCTCTCTCTCGTTTGTTTTGTTTGTCCAACTCTGATGCGATTGGTGTTTTCTGCTTCATTTCAGATCCATGGCAAGTTCTGGCAATGCGCCTTCAAAACGACCTAAGAGCAAAGGACGACGAGCTCAAAGCTGAACGCAGCGCAAAGGACGGAGGCCCCTTGGCCAAAAGGACGAAGACTCTTGGCCATCAGAACGAGAACCCCTTGCCCAAAAGTACAAAGCCCCTTGATGCACCAGAGAACTACTTTCCTAAGCAGAATAACAAGGAGCTTCATAAGAACAAAAGGAATGAGCCTGCATCAGCAGGAAAAGGAAGGAGGTGCCTAAGGAGGGAATAAGGAGCTCCTCTATCA